AGCATGGCCCCGGCGCAAGGATGACACGCATAAATCGAGAAAGCACCTGGACAATCGTGGCTCGCCTCCGACAGGCTGCTTACCACAGTGCCATGACCGTGCCAAGTACTCGCATCGCCGGATTTGATTGGATCCTTGGATCAGTACCATATCGATCCCCAGCTTCGAATCCCGCTACTTCTTCCCCCGAATACAACGTACGGTCATTATAGGCTTAATAGTATTTAGACTGAAAGATCCCAAATACAGCTATAATGACCGTATACGTTGTATACAGAGTATAAAAATATATAAAGAAATATAGAAACAAGAAACTCCCACATAAGAAAAGGAGAGCGCGGGAGGAAACTGGAGAAATTTTCCGCCATGTCGGGAGGGACCTCGCGAATTTCCGCAGCCATCTCGGGAGGGAGGTCCAGTATTTTCGAGCCATCTCTCGGCGCGGTCAAGCTGAGACCAGACCCCGCAACGAAGCTCACATTGAGCAGAGACTGCTGATGTTCATAGGGGGAGGGGACCTGAGGGGAGGCACAGTGACCGGCCCATCGAAGAAGCTCGGTCCTGATGCTACCGGCTGACTCCTGGCCGGTATCGCCCACCTGCTGTAGCAGGTATAGCACCTGCTGGTGGGTGCAGCTTCCTCGGCGTGGTCAAGCTGAGACCAGACCCCGCAACGAAGCTCACATTGTCCCCAAGGAAAAAAAAAAAAAAAAAAGAGAAGCTCCCATTGCGCGGTCGGGTCTCAGGTTACCTTTTTTTTTTTTTTTTAAAGGCTAACCAATTCAATTACCTGTCAAATCTGGACAGGAAGGCCTTTCAGGCCTTTCAGGCCTTTTTTATTACCTGTCGTAACCAAAGCACGAGACCTTCGACTTCAGCGGATTCAAGAGGTTCGAGATCTCCTAGGCGTTATCATACCGAACAACGGGGGGTTGATCTCCTAGGCGTTATCATACCGAACAACGGGGGGTTGATCCGGAGTTAGCTAGTACTCTGGCCAAACTTGGTAAGAGTGTGGCTGTCATGGAAGAGCACATTACAGTGGAACAAGAGAAGAAGGTGGCTAAGGCCCGTAAGAAACGGGAAAAGGAGGAGGCTGAACGTCTTGCGAGTAGGAGCGTGCACGCGCCGAAGAAGAGCGTGCTGCAACCGAGCGATGTGCACAGAAAGCGAAGGAGAAGAAACGTGCTGAGGCGGAAAAGGAGGCTAATCTACGTGCTGAGATGCAAAAGGACTTGAGCATACAGGTCGACGAAATGGAGGATAGGTTCGTGCAGAAGTTATTGAACGTGATTGCTGCTCGACCCTCTCCTGGCGTGGACAAAGGGAAAAAGAAGGCGTCATATCAATCTGACTATGAGTCGGGCTCATCGAGCCGCGGGTGAGAGCAGCGACACTAGCGTTACTCAGGAGATGAGCGCCAATCTGACGAACCGATTTCTGTTCCGCGCGACTTTCTGCACGATAACGATGAGGGGTCCTAAGCTGGGAATGATGGGCCAATTACGGGGGATCGGGATTGGAAGGATATTGCATCGGTGGCCTCGCTTCTTCGTCTTTTTGCGTCGCTTCTTTTCGGATGGCTGGGTTCAGGGCCGGGCAAGTCCCAGGATGATTGATTGAGTGGCCGTCGCGCCGTTGAGCGTGCGAATAATATTGGTTGACGACGTTCCTTTTCATTTTCTGTTGTTGGATTTTAGGCGCGGAGATCGCGCGGGAATTTTTGCTTCGTTCTTTTTTAATTTACTTTTTGAGCCCCGATGGCTCTCGGAATTTCGGACTTTCTTTTCAGAAAATGTGTTTTTCGTTTTCCGCATTAGATAGGAATTTAGGAATTAAGCAATTAGGATTTTTTTTTGCCGCGCGACGCTTTTTGCTTACGCGCTTCTTTGTGCGGCTGCAACAGAACTTTGATTAGTCGGCGCCCTTAATCGTATGTGTAACTGTAATTTTGGGCAGGCGCCACTGTAATTGTATCTTCCTTCTTGAACTTCGTCTTTCCCGCCCTCGCTCTTTCTCTTGCTGCGTCTAGCTGGCCCGCGGACTGCATGATCGAATCGATGCGTGGAGAGAGGCTACGACCCCCACGCCGTGATCTGGCCATGCAGAACACAACCGATCCCTCCCCTAATCTCCCTTCTAAGTCCTTCTAATTCTATGTTCTTCGCGCATGCATGCACGCTATAAATTCCGGCTGCGCGATTAGATAGCTCTCTTAACCAGCTTTTGGAAGCTCGGGGTAGCGCGATCAGTGACGGTCGGCTCACGAGCGAAGTAAGTGGTGAGTTGAAGCGGGAGTTGGGCGACCCGACGAGTTGGAGCCAAACGCGCAGGGTTGACGCGGGCCACGACGGACTGTGGGCGCGGGCGAACCTGACGGGTGCGGGAGGACTAAGCGGGCTGACGACTTCGTGGGTTGGTGCGTGACGACGGACTGTCCGCATCAGAGAAAGAGAGAGAGGAATAGGGAGCTGAGGTTGATGGACGTGGATTTGCAGTTTCTTTGTCTTTCCTCCCCCGCTGCTATTGTACATAAATTTTGATTTCGGTTCCGGGCGACTTGCCCGTTTTCCCTTCGTTTTCGGAATTTTTGCTTGGTTTCGGCTCACACTTGTTTTGCGTTCGATCTCGACCTCGTTTGCTGTGTGCTTTGTCAAATGAAGGAATGAATGTCATGTCTGGTGCTTTTCTTTTGTTTGGTTCTTACCTCTGCTTGTCATTTTGATACACTCATGACTCATGAGCATAGTAGGAACTGTTGCATGATCGTCAATACTGCTTCCATTGTCGTTGTCCTATTTCTGAACCCTTGTTGCTGCTGTGATAACACCTAGCAGGAATAAGAGCAATTGCGTACGGGATCGCGGAATGATTAGATGATTGTGTAGTTGTTTGTCCAGGAGCAAGCGAACACCTCGCGGGGATGCTCGTAAACGCGATCTGATCTGCGCAGCCTACGCGTGTCCACGCGCGCCGATTTGTAACCCCCAACGAACTTAACTACCCCGGGATTATCTTCTGATCGTATGAATGGATGTTGCATTGCGTGGAAGGAATGGTGTGATTGTCGCTTCTCTTTCCGATTAGTTAATGATTGATTGCAAGGCCTTGACGATGTTGAAACGAGGGATGAATGGTTGGATGTATTCGACGGCCGCAACGTAGCAATCATCCCGCATGAGCACGTGTAAGTGCGATCCCATTTGCGCGGCCTACACGTACTCACACGCGGTGATCACAATCGTCGGATATCGTGACAGGCCCGGAAATTCTTAACACCGAGCTCGAAAATTCCCCAGTCGGGTAACCACGCACTAAGGAATTCCGGTGCTTCACAATGACAAGATGACGTACTCGAGGGACTCAGACTCGTCATGGGATCCGGAGTATTTTAACCCTTGGGTGAGCGAGTGTCTCAGACGGAGACGGCCGAAATTTCCCTGCCTAATCGAGAATCGATTGTGTCCCAGGGAATTCCACTGTGCCACAACCAGCGATCCAAGGTATCCTGATTTTCCCACTTCCGATAACTCGCACTACTTCATATCCCCCGGCTTCGTTGTTATCGCTACCAACTTCCCTCCCTTCCGACTCCTCCTTCCGTATCACCAACTCACGGTGGTCCCGTGGAATTTCATCGCCGAGTACTGGCTCCGCACACCTTGCGGAAATTGTTGGCGACGCGGCAACCGACGAGCCCCGGAAACCAGAGGGCCCAACCTAAACGCGCGACGGCCTACGCCACGTGGCGGTACCCGACGGCCCGACTCATCGGAATCACACTCACCTGGGACAGGCTTTTCCTCGAACCACCGTCACCAAAACAGACGGATCGAATGGCCTTGACCGACCCACGGATGCCATCTACCTTACGACTGGAAGCGGTCTGCCCCCTCAACCATATTGCACTCGTGCCCCCGAGACTCTGCCACATGAGATCTCAGTTCTGACCTGGGACTCCACCCCCACTTTCCCAAGAATCCTTGGCACAGCCCTTTTCGCACTTCTAGAC